GGAGCAGCCTCCACATTGCTGTCAGACTCCTCAGGATCTGTCCCTTTTTAACCACCTCATGCATCCTTTACCATTTTTGTTGCATTTTCTGAGCAAGCTCAAAGTTTCTTTTCTTCAGAGTCCTTCAGCATAACCCTTGGCAAGGCAAATATAAAGTCAAATAAATCGCAAAGTATGCAGCAGGACTTGGATACTACTGCAGCAGCCCAAGAGAGGAAGGACAGAAGGAAGGAAGGAAGAACAGGACTTTTTAACAACTTTTTCACAAGCTCTTCCTGCCAGAGCTTTTGCAGGCCAGTATTGCAAAGCGAGAAGCTACAGAATCAGGACGCAGTTTGATGCAAACGATTCACTACATCAGATTTTCAGACTCATGGGGTTCAGTATTAGGTTGGATACTTTGAAAACCTTGTTGCTGGAGGCTTCTTTTTCTCCCTAGTAGTTACATGGAAAAGACACTATACAACAGAGCTGAGCTCAACTCCTCTGCAACAGTTCCTCCATAAAAGTGATGATGGAGGTTCTGAGGTGTCTTGGATCTGTTTGTTTTGTAATAGAGACAACTACCAGGAGTCTTAATATTGTTTATTAGAAATATTAAACTAGCCTGTCTCGCGGATCAAATTCTACAGAGGCAGCTATTGGTGAGGTATGTCCACTGAAGTTCTGTCACTGGGTTCATGTTAGATTTAGTGACAGAGATGGTTCAAATCTCAACAAATTCAACTCATCCTTCCATCTTTCAGACTATAAAGAGGAGATAAAGATGTGAGACTTTTTCTGAACATAGCTTTATTTCTGAGATAGAGTTTTGGAATATAGACACTGAAATATAACTTCATGAAAAATTTGGAAAAAATCTTTTGGCTTCTCTTTTATAGAGGAAGTGTCTATGATTGCAGCTGTACTTAGACTGACTGTAGTAATTATGTACACTGTTACATAGCTATTTTAATTGAAGTTAATCTAGGACATCTTAAACTGTATGAAGGCTTCTGATAGTGAAAAAAGTGCCAGTAAAGTTTAAGATATTTATGTCTGTAACAGAAATGATATCCTGGACTGCATACACTGGCTTTAAAAACACAGGCTATCAAAGAGTAAAATCTGATGTTTCATAAGGTAACTCATCGTAAACTTTGTACTCCATAGATTTTAAGAGTAAGGGAATACTCGTACCCAGGTTAGGGTGAGCCCTTCTGTTGACAAAACAATGATTTCATTTATTACCAATAGTGAAGATTTACATCTAAGACTCACAGTCTTAGTTTCATGAAAGTTATTTAGTTTTGATTCTGGGTCTTACTGCAGACTTGTTCTTGGTTTTCATGCCAACAGCTGTTTTCCTGTCAGTCCTGTACTATCTCTGAGCGCAGCAAAGGTTGCTCTATTTGGAATACCACACACAGGGAAACAAAGGCTCACTTTCTCTTCTTTCACACTGCATGACATCACTTACAATCATTTCTCTCCACACCCCCACACTTCTTGTTTAAGAACCAAAATTATTATTAACATCTGGCACATGATATTGCACAACCTTGGGATCTGTAGGCAGTCAGTCCTTAAAGCCCAAAGCCCAAACACACACATGCTGTAGCTCAACCCTTGGCTCTGCATATGTCTTTCTAACTCCAGAAGAAGCCAGAGGAAATATTCTTGAGCAGTGTCTCTCAGACATGGCAGAACTGCTGCAACGTGATTTCTGCTAGATGCTGCTGGCTCTGAGCCATCTTCCCCTTTACACAGCACGCCTCTCTGTCCCCTAGTGCAGAGGGGTTAGGTGTGTTGTGCAATACACTTTCAGCCTAAACTAGTCTTCTGCACAGCCCTCGCCTGTGAGTTCTGCTGGGGGCCAGGAAAAAGTGATGCGTGTTTGACATCTGCCTAGACCACTGCCGTTTCCTTCTCGTCACACAGATTTCTCCACCCCTGGAAGAGATCTCAGTGGGGTTTAGGGGAAGGCAATCAGCAGATGATGCTGAGGGAAGATGATATGGGCACAAAAAAATTTTTCAGCAAGGTGCTGAACAAACAGGCATTCCCACATCTGTTAAAAACAAATGGTATTTTCATAATTTTTATATGAATCTCAGCGTGTAATTGTAAGCAGGCAGTTTTCCAAAATACTATTGTATTGTAGAAGTGGGAAAGCAAATAATCGATGCTATGAAATACACAGAGAACTATTAAGACATCATTCTTCTCCAGAGACCTTTCACCATAGCGAAAGAATGATTTCAGGTTTTACACTGTTCCAGGGTGGCAAGTCAAGCAACGAGACTGGATATGGTAATCAAAATGAAATTGAAATTTGTCTTAGAGAACAATACTTTCCAGAAGCAATGTCATGAAGAGAGGACATGGGCATTAGCAAGTCAAGTATCAACCCACATCAGAAACCATAAGAAGAGCTTTAGGAACATTACCTGCCATGTGCATCCACACAAAGAAATGAGTCACTACATCACAAGGGATGAAACCATTACAATTAGTTAACACTGCAGGCAATGTATTCACACAGCCTTACTTGAAGTCATGCCCCAGCACGTGTAAGGCTCAGCAAAAACTTGGCGTGTTTCCAGCAGGCCTGAAAACACTGTTGTGCTTCAGAAGGTATTGCCAGGGGAAATGGTTTGACTAAATTGCCTCTGCAGCATAACCAACGACACCTACGAGGTTATGCAGGCAATTCAGTGCCTGTTCTATGATTTTTGTTAGAGCAATGGCCAGAGGAATCCAAGTGTGATCCGTAACCCATCATATTAGGTATTCAATTATATGCAAGTCTGCATGTAAGTAGTACTGTGTACTACTACAGATGAAGTAAGAAGTCTGAAGTCTGCCGTGAAATATAGATGTTTGAAGGAAAGCAGCACAGACATATCTTGTTCAAATGTTTTGATAGGCAAACAAAAAAGGGAAAAAATTGGCTTCTGTTAGTCCCAGGCTAAATGTTCCTGTTCAAATCCTATCATATCACTAATAAAGCAGATGACTATTTATCCACAGAGGTTTCTATTACCTTATTATTTTTTTAAACTCAATCCTATGATTCATTTACACAACCCAGGAACACATAGTGCATGTTCCTGTTCCCATTTCTCTCATGTTTCTATTTATGTTTATTTTTTTATATCCTTTCTTCCAGTTAAAAAAACTCAGTTGAAGAGATTACCCTATATTATAGCAGCAAGACCTCCTAAGATCAACTCTAAACTACCATCATAATTTATAGGTCTGCTATGGAGCAACATTCAGTCACAGCAAAGGTATTCTTGAGCTCAGAGCAATCAAGCTTTGTCACCCTCGGGCCCTTCTCAAGCAGAGTGGCACAATTCTGTCAGCCTTCTTACAACTTTTGGACTGTGATTTCCCAGAGTGACAGCAGAACCGGGGGGGTGCCCTTCCTCCCCTCACTCTCCTGAAAGACTCATCTTGGGTATTAGCCAACCTTTTGAAATAAGCATTCATGACAGTCAGTATTTTCATAACACCAATGCCTTAAAGCCTTTTTTTTTCAAAAGTAGCCTTCTGTTTCTGGGTGCTCAATCTGAGCTCACTCTCAACAACTGCCTACTGCCAAGAGGTGTCTAAGGAATGTGCTGGGACAGGTGCTGTGTGGTCATGTGGCACACCCATCCTATCTGTTTCAAGACAGGCATCCAAAAATCAAGATAAATTAAATGAATGAATGTTCAAGACAGGAGTGAGTCTATGGAACTTTCCCCTGGCCAAGGAGATTGTCAGTGGCAGAGATGAAGTGTTCTTGCTTCCCAGTCCTGCACTTATCCCCCTGACTGTCCTACCTTGATACCAAACTAATTTCTCATAATTATGTTAATTATTACAAACACAAATGCATAATTTTCCAGATACAATTCTGCTTCCCTTGCAGGGGTTGGAAAGGGGGAAGAAATGAAACATATCTTGCTATGCTATCTTCCCACAAGGGAATACTGGAGTAGTGAGGGATTCTGTTATGGGACAGATCAATTAAAAGGGAAAAAAACCAGAAGACCATGATGCTTCTTTATCCAAAAATGTAGGAGAATCCTTTAGGTTGAGTGTTTGAGTTTGCAGAGAGAGGGGAGGGAAAGGAGCTTATCTCTCTTTTAATTTTCTACTTGGGGTTTTGTTGTTGGCTTTGACTGCTGCATAGCAGCTGCTACATTGCTCATCAGGTTGAGGCCCTGAACCACAGCAGTTAATCCCAGAACAAACTACTTGGGCTTGTGAGGTGGTGTGACACAGGATGCTAAACGACAATAGGCCACAGAAAAGGTCAGAAAACCCAGTAGGGGAAGCAACGCACATGTTCAGTGCTGTGAGAGCTGTGCTGAGTAGCTGCACGGATAACTGAGTTTGGGGGATTTCTCAGCCCTGCTCATTGCTCTTGGGGTTTGCAGTGCTGCAGGTAGTAAAGAAGAAAGGGGGAGGGGAAAGGGCAGCACAGATGTACAGTAAGGAAGTAATTCTAAAATGTGACGGTGCTGTGGCAGCTGCATGACTAGTTAGGGGGCTACAGGGAAGCAAGTTCGTGCTTCTGCCTTTAGCAGAGAAGGTCTGGGAGCAAATGGGGATATCCCACAGCAGTGTGAAAAAGAAAAGAAAAAAAAAAAAAAAAGTATGCATATAGCTCTATGATTAATGCCACTTGGTGCATGGGACAGACCCCTCTGAGCCACACACTAGTCTTTGCCAACTATGCCAAGTAGACCAAGCTAGAAGCAATCTAAAGTAGTAGGGCACCCTGAGGTGCTCTTAGGTGATCTCAGATCTAGAACTGAGCTTAGTTCACATTATAGCAACAAACTTAGTATTTCTCAAACCAGAACTCTCAAAGAGTAAACATTAAGCACATGCAAATCATTGAATTGACAACCTGTATGAATATGTAATTTTACATCACTCTAAGGTATCTCAACTCTGCCATTTGCTGAAAACTTGTATTGTTTGATCTGTAAAACTGTAATAGGCCACCTTTCAGGGCAGCTTACCAAGCCAGGTTCTGCAAGTGTACCGGAAGAACATCTCCTTCTGAAGGAATGTCTTCCTCCTTTGTGTGCATGGAGAGGAGGCATATTTGGGCAGCAGTTACATCTCTGTGACGACTACTCTTTCATACCTCTGATGACTGGGATCCTGAGAGGGGAGGAATAGCTGCCAGATGTGTTAATGCTCCAGTCCTGCAAAAGCTTACATTATATATTAATATTATTAAAGCTAGTATTTATCCAAGAGGATCACAGCCTAGGCCTGCTGCAGTCACGAGCAGTCCACAGCAGCACTTGGGCTGGGATAGAGAGGTCGAGATTCAAGCAGCCATTTTCCAGAGGATCCCCAACCAAGCCCCAGGTGCCCCCCAGGACAGCCCCTCTGCTGCCTGCAGTCTACATTCAGAGAAGGGCAGCTCACAGAGAAGAGCCAACATAGACATCTGGGCATAGAGGCATCAGGCTTGGGAGTCACAGGGCCACAGAAAGGCAGATTACCTGGAGCTAGCCAACAGCAATGCAAAAGCAAGTAATATCAGGAATATGTCTAGAATTATCTGCTTCCCCAACCATTTTGGCACATCCCTGGTGAACAGCTACCCACAGTCCTCCACTCCCATATCTAGAAGCTGTCATATATCTTTTCCCGAGCGTGCACGTGCCAAATTTTTTATTTTTCTCTTTCTATATTATAGCCCAATGATTAAGACCGGAATTGAAACCCTGTCTCCCTAGAGAGGATTTAATCACAGATTTCATGTTTCAGGACACCTCAGTCACCAAACCCCCTGATACTGCAGAAGAGCAGGAGGTGAGGATGGGGGGAAGGCAGGGAACCTCCGTGCTGAAGAGACTCCAAGCTGCAGAGGAGACCTGAGGCAGCAGCAGCTGTCACACAGCTTAGCTGTGGCCTGCTGGCTGGCCCTGTTAGTGCAAAGAGAAGTTTGGATCCCAGCTCTGGCTCCAGGGACCATCCCTGTGTTTCACGTTACAAAATCATTACCTGAAAAACTCCATATCAAAGCCTAAGTCAGAAAATTTTCTCCAGGTAGATTTTAAACATAGCAAATCGGCCAACACAACAGGTCTAAAGGGTTGAAATTTTGTACATAGGCAGACTGGAAGTGCCTATATCTTTTTGCTGATTCTCCCTTAGTCTCTAAGCATTGGTTTGCCTATCCTTCAAATATAAATAATCATTCTTCCTTTGTATCTAAAACTGTGACAATATCAGTTCCATAAATAAACAGTTAAATGTATAGGTGAAACTCAGGATATCAAGGTTCTTTATCTGACGTGTAAAACAGACCAAGAAAGGATGGTGGAGATAAAATATCTGCTCAGCAGAGCCATGCAGAAATTAAGTGATGAAAAGGAGTCTTGAAATAAATTTGAAAGACGGCACTTGTAGGAAGAGTATCCACATACATAAGTATCTGGCAAACGCAAGAAAGAGTTGTGAAAATTCCCTATTTGTTTTGCAGCTTCACCGATAGAGGAGAAAACACAGTGGTATGGGGGTGCATCTACTGCTCCGCGCGGCTCAAGGACTTCAAAGCGTTTCACGGTGCTGTTCTCAGCTCTCCAGCACCCTCAGCTGGACTTCGGCCGGGCAAGCGCCCTTCTGCCTTTTCTGTTGCTCATCACTGGCTGAATTAATTGGTGTCAGGGCACTAAAGACAATGAAACATTTCTTTGCTCCCGTTGAAGTCTTAGAGAGACTTTTTTTTTTTTTTCTGAAATTCATAAGAGCCTTATGTCCTCTGCATAAAACTATTCTTCTGAACACAAGCTAAGTAGCTGGATTTGTTTTGAAGCCAACCACCCCTGACTTGCATACTATTTGCAATGTCAGGTTGTTAATTTTGAACCTGGGTGTGTTAAAACAATTTTCCTTTTATTAATCTTTTACCTTGATGGCTAGCATTCAGATCACAGGATGATATGTTCCTGAACAGGACTTGAATCCCATATTACAGCTTGATTCCAAGTCAGTGAAAGGCTCAACAGTACCCAGAAAGCAATCTCCAAGTTACTGTCATGTATACATCCCATAACAAACCTTGCCAGGATGAGGTCATGGCACCTTGAGCGAGCAAGTGCTCCCTCTTCATTTTCCTGGCTTTCTCCCCATATGGTTTGTAGGTGCCCAGAGGGACCTGTCAGCAGATGTTTTGGACAAGTACCCTGTCACGTAAGAGGAACCTGTAAAAATTCTTTTGGAAAGAATATCTAAAATTAGTTGCTTTTGAAATATGTTATGTGACTCATATCACTGGACTCACCAGCGGCAGCACCTTATGTACCTGGTGCTGCTGCACTACAGTGGATCAGTTGTACAGAATTATGTTATCCCCCACCACAACAGACTTCAGCCAGCAGCTGGGCTCCTTTCCAGTATCACTCTTCAAATCTACAGAAGCATCAACTTGAATATGAAAACAGAATGCTAACATGACATATTATCTTTTCTTCATAATTACAAATGTGAATCCTATATTAGGGATAGAAAGTAACTTTGATGCGTAGTGACTATAGAAACAGCTCGTCCAAGTTTTTGTTTCATCTAAGGGAAGAAATACTGGCATAGAAAATCTACTTCCTCCCTTCTCCACCTCTCCTCTGAAAAAAAACCCAACCTTTAATATTCTGTTTGGAACTAGTGTTCAAAATCAAATAGGTAGAGCTGTAGAATATCAGCAGATTTTAAAGTACCCTCTCAGAAAGATATGCTCAGATGCATCCAAGTTTTTTAATATCACAGCTAATACATTGCCACTATCAGTTCAAATACTCCATAAAGTGTCTTGCCCTGAAATCAAATTGCTTATTTATTACCTCTTTAAGTACCACTCTATATTTACATGAAAAATTCCACAAGAAGTTGAGGGAAAGTGAAGACACTTCCTATTGCCTTCTGCTATCACGAATGGGGCAAAAAAAGACAGTCATGTTAAGCAAAGATTCTCTTTTTTCAGATGTGAAGACAAATCCTAGGTCTGATGTGCTTTTCACACAAAGACGGAGTCCATAGTCAGATTTGAAATTTCAGCCCCTTTTCGAAAGGGTATCTCAGGTCAACATAGTTAATCAAAAAATACAAAAGATGCTAAAAAATTTGAAAGTAACAAATTGGTATTTGAATGAACTCACTTCCTGGCAAAAATCTACTAGCAGAAACTGCAATTAAATTTCAAACAGATAAAAGCATTATATAGATATTTCATTTATATACTTTCATGGTGTTAAATATTTAACATCACAAGGTTTAAAAATAAGCTAAACAATTGATTGTTTCCTGGGACACTATCCCTGTTCATGATTTGCTCTTGCTTTAGAGACTATATCATGGACTTGTTAACCCCAGAGGTTACTATTTTCAGTTTCTGTTACTAGTTGCCATAAGGAGAGGCTGCAAAGAAAACAGCTCACAGTAAGTCACACAGTCCTCCTGCTTCCTTCCTTCCTGCTGCACAAGCCTGTCAACTTTTCTGCTCTAAGGAGATAGACCAATATTAGAGTGACTGTAACCTTTATTACCTGATAAAACAAGCCTAAAAATAGCTACAGTGTTATTGTTGCACATAATAGGATGCAGACAAATGCAAATATATTTTCTGTTGGATATTACTTCTCAGTTTCTCGTTTTTTCTTCCTTTTCAGTGCAGAACCACGGTGCTCACTGGTTACAACTGTTCTCCCAGTGGCTGTGTTCTCTGCAAAAGCCACAGAAAACTGATTTTAAATAGGATTTCTCTTACACTAACAATTTGTTAGCATCGTTTTTCCTTTCTGATTATTATAACTGGCAACAAATGTTTTTAAAACATTTCATCTAGAACAGAACTTTCATTAAAGATTAAAAACTTGTCCTTGGTGGAGACCTCACTTCTGCTATAAAAACAAAACCCTGCACTGGGCACTAGAGGGCACAACGAATATCCTTTGGATCCAGGGTGTCTTAGAACCTTAATATACTACACCAAGACAGAACAACGTGTATAATAAATTTCGTATTAATCCTAGGAAAGGCATAAGAAAATTTAAAATAATTCCTGAACAGTTATAATGAATTTCTTTCCTAAGGTCGACGACTGTACCTTGCACTCTAACCCATGGTATATAATTTATATGAAGAAAATGCACACACACACACACACACACATAATATTAGCATTTCCACAGGGATTTATAATAATTTATATAACATAACTATTATGGATCACAGAATTGTGTGCTGTATCATTGGATAAAGTGGAGGGTTGGGGGAAGCAAATAATAATTTAGTTCAGTTGCTGAAGAAATCAATTAACCTAAGTGCTGTATGAGTTTGTACTTTACAGTGGCATCTATAATGGTTTTGTTTGTGGTTATGACTCATTTCATTGTTGGTTTGAAGAAAAAACCTCACTATTTCAGGATAGTTTAGTTCTTGAATGGAAGAGGGTCTCATTATATCCAATAACGTATTCTTAGCATGCAGATTTTAAAGGTAGGCCATAAATTAAAATCACTTAGAGGCAATAAAATGTGTTAGCTATTTTTTCTCTCTTAGATGTGTTTGAAATGCAGGATTTTCTTATCTTTCTCCTATAATGGACTCATAATTTTTATTTAAATGCTTGCAAGATATTAGAAGAGAATGTAAAAAAAGGCACTTTGTTTTAGGTATTCAGATAATCTTTTACATACTCCTAACAATAGCCATGGCTTGAAAGGTTGTGGGAGTCCAAGTATTCTAAGAGGGGAGGACAGCATTCACCTCCCTGTAATCACCTAGTGCTGCCAGATGTCTGCTGTGAGCCAAGTGGTGGGTCTCCTTCCACTAGCATTGAAGAGAGGGGAGGGATTTTCTTGATCAGTACTTGGCATGGTTTTGCCTTAGAAAACTACCTAGGCCCACATCAAACTCTTGAGTCCCATTTTGCTATAAATCTCTCTCTAATGGACTATCATCGTGCTAGGGCTACTTTGCTGCCTCTCTCATACTTTCTATTTTCTTGGTGCTTTGTTTGCCTTTTATTTTCATATCTCAGGCTTGCTTTGTCATGTAAGGTTAATTCATCTGACCAAACTCCAAGCCTACAGTAGAGATCTAGGACAACACCACTGGAAGCAATGCAACAGAATCATCGGACTTGGGAACTAAAGCATATTGTAAAAAAAAAAAAAAAAAAAAAAAAAAAAAAAAAAAAAAAAAAAAAAAAAAAAAAAAAAAAAAAAAAAAAAAAAAAAAAAAAAAAAAAAAAAAA